GATGATACCATAGTGACTGGTGCTTCCTTCCACACAGATGACAGGAGACACAAGTACCTGAGTACAATTCCTATCAACACTAACAGTCCAGCAGACAAGAGAAAGTGCAAACAAGAAGAACTGCACACAATACAGTAGTGTGAGCTAAGGGGCTGTCCCAACACCAAACACTAACAGATGAGTTTCAGAGACCAACTATAAGGTCTAGGCATGTAGACATGTCTTAACAGTTTCCCTCTGTACAGGCATGTTCCCTGAACACAAGAAATTAAGAGCTACTTATTTTAGGAAGTAAGGCACACAAATCTAGGTGGACAGCCTAAAAATTCATAAAAGTCCATGAACCAACTCAACACAAACTACCAAAGGAACTTGAAGGCTGGAGGTAGTAGAAGGCAGATCTCTGTGCGTTCGAGGCCAGTCTACAAAGCTACACAGAGAAACCCTGTCTCGAAAAACTAAAAACCAAAAGCAGAAGGAACCTGAAGACAATGAATGAGAAAATAAAGTGATTCCTTGGGGAGACAATCGCTGGGAAGGCTGATTGGGTAGGGGATGGGGTGATGGCAAACAACACAGATAAGTAGACTTTAGAGAATGCTGTGATAGCACAATGGATCTGAAAACTTACAAGTAGTTTCCTAGAAAAATTAAGTCTACCAGAATTAGCTCAAAAAGAAACCAAGAGCTGATGACTTGGTCATTTAAGGAAGAGATGGAGACCGGAGGGCAATTACAAAGAACCAGTTCTCTTCTTCCAGTATGTGGGTCCAGGGAATTGAACTCAGTTCATCAGCCTTGAGGGCAAGTATCTCTACCTCCTGAGCCATCCTGATAGAAGAAGTTTCTAATGATAATTTGTTGGATACTGTTGTAGTTGGGACTTGAGGGAAGGAGGACCTGGATTCATTTTCTGTCTTATGATAAACCTCCCTGACAAACTCAGAGGAGAACAGGCTTATTTACACAAAATTCCAAGATACAGTCCATCACTGTGGGGAAATGAAAGCAGGAACTTGAAATAGCTAATCACACTCACGATCAAGAGCAGAGAGAGAATGAACACATGAATCCTTCTAACATTGAGTTCAACTTGTCTACCCTTGTACAGTCCAGGACCCAAACCCAAAGAATGGTGCTGCTCACAGTGGGCTGCCTCCTCTCACACCAATGAACTATTAAGATAATCCCCACAGATTTTCCCACAGGTCAACCTGATATAATTTCTGTCAAATTAACAAAACCTGTGTGTGTGTGTGTGTGTGTGTGTGTGTGTGTGTGTGTAGGGTTGGACTGGTGGTACTGTGAGGGCAATATGCAGAAGTCATCAATTTAATTTGAAAAAGATGAAATAGAAGTGACATTAAATAGGTTATAAGAAGACAGAGGCAGGTGGACCTCTGAGTTTGAGGATGGCCTGGTTATATGGTGAGACCTAGTCTCTAAAAGAGGAAAAGGAAGAAGAGTACACAGCTGGATCTATGGATCAGGGATCCAGAAAGGATCACATTTGGGAGTTGCCAGTATCCAAATGATAAAGCCACAGGTGTTGGCTCACATAATATGAAGAGATATTTCATTGGTTCTCAAAATCTGGCTGCAAGCATCATGGGGAAACCTAACAGAAATGTAAACTTTCAGGTTCCACCCTAGACCTCCTAACTGGGCCTGCAATCTATATACCTACAAGCCACTGACTATGGGAATTAAGAAGGCATGGGGCCTTGTTGTAAGATTTCCAACATTTGCCAGGTATGATGGTATACAACTTTAATCCCAGCATTTGAGAGGCAGAGACATCATGTGAGTTTAAGGCCAACTTGGTCTACATATCGAATTCCATGACAGCTAGAGCTACACAGAGAAACCTTGTCTCAAAAAAGAAGGGGAAAAAAAAACAAAAACAATATTTAATGCAAGAAGGTGATCCAGCAAGAATATCTATAAGGAGCAACAAGAAATTAATATTTTTAAATAATCGACCCTCCACAAGACATGCCCATGGGCCAGCCTGATCTAGATAATCCCTCCTTGAGCCTACTTCCCAGGTGACTGAGAGCACACCTGTCCCAGTGCTCGGAGGCAGGCAGCTCTCTCTGAGTTTATGGCTGTTTTTTAACAGGACAGCAATGCATATTACAACTGCTGGGAGGAAGGTACCTGCTGCATGGGAGGAGAGCACAGCTGTCGGCCTCAGCAGAAGCATCATTTCATGACTGACAGGCAGAACTGCTCCACAAAGTGGTAGAAGATGCAGGCCCACTTTTCCTCAGTATTACTGCTTTTTAAATTTTTTTCTTTAAGTGTGTGTGTGTGTGTGTGTGTGTGTGCGTGCGCGCGCGCCTGTGCGCGTACAAGTGAGTGCGTGAGTGCGTGTGATGCCTGCTTGTATGTTTGAGCACTGTGTTTAGTCAGTGACCACAGAGGTCAGAAGAAGGTGTTGGATTCCCTGGGAATGAAGTAAAAGACCACTATGAACTGCCATGTGAGTGCTGGGAATAGAACCTGAGTCCTCTGGAATAGCAGCACTTAACTGTTGAACCACCCCTCTCCTATACTCTAAAATTTCTACAGACACTGTATCCCTCACTGTGTGGACTCAGTATGTACCACTCACAGTGCCTTATCCCTGGTACCACTAAAGACAAAGTCCGAAGTTTCACAAAGGGGAGGAGTATTTGGGATCCAAAGCACAGCACTTCTACCTGGATAGATAATCTTGTTAAAAAATACCTGAGCATAGACTTAGGAAATTGAAATCTTTTGGCAGGGAGTTAAGAGAGGTACAATTGGAATGGCTTCTAGTTCCTTCATAGGATCATCTGCAAGGGCAATTCTACTGAGAGATGTGCAGACATTCTTGGTCTACTGCAAATACACACTTCATTAAGTAATCACCTACTTAGAATTTGGCTCCCCATACGGGTCTACCTATAGGGCAAGAATGTGCTGACAATGCAGATTTCTCACTGTAAATTCATATCCTGGATTTCAAAAACAATGGGTTTATAGTGGACACTGAAAGAAATGTAAACTCCTGCCCACAAGCTTGAATGCCAAGCACTGTCCACTGAGCCATTCCCCCAGCCTCCATTTCCATTGTTTCTGGGCTTTCAGAGGTTTAGGCCAGGTTCTTAGCTAAACAACAAATCACAACACTCATCTTTCCACCGCCTTAATACATCACACCAAATGCTGGCTTTTCATTAGCTGCCACTGATCAATGTCTACCTCTCCTCTCTCAATTTATTTCTATACCCATCCATTCATAAGCTGTTTTAAAGTCAACTAGCTTTTGTAGGAGGGGACCATCAGGCCTCTATGTGTGCATGTCCCACATCCATGCAGTCAACTAGCCTTGGGCAACAAATACTTTGGGGAAGAGGTTGTCTGAACAAACAAGTCCAGACTTTTCCTTCCTACTACAACTCTCTAAGAAACAGCACAGCAGCGATTTAGCCAGCATGGTTGGCATCAAAAGTGAGAAATGATTTAAAACATATGGAAAGATGTGTATAGATTACAGTCAAACACAAGTAGAACATGCCATTTTCCGTGACAACCTTGAGTATGTGCAGGTTTTGATAACTAAAAGAAATCCTAGAACCAGCTCCCTGCACATGCTGTGAGACATTGAAGGAAATGTTTATTTATTCTATTATTCATTCAACAAGTATTCAAGACTATAACCCTGTGCCACAACCATGGGAGACATAAAACACAGTATTTATAACTGAGCAATTAGCTTCATAAAGAACAGACTTATAAACATATTTTGATTATAAAAGGAAATTAAAAATAAAAAATATTTTTAATAAGTATGATTGAAGCAGCACCTAGCTATCAAAAGAAATGCTGAAGTTGAATGACTTAAAGCCAGGTGTGGCAGTATACACCTTAGTCCCAGCACTTTGGAGGCAGAGACAAGCAGGTCTCTAGAAAGCCAGACTGTTGGCCTACATAGCAAGCTCAGGCCAGCCAAGGCTACTTATTGAGACCTTATCATAAGAAAACAAACAACAAACAAACCTCTTGGGGCTGGAGGGTTGGCTCTGAAGTCAGGAGAGCATGTTGATCTTGCACTTTTACAGAGGACCTGGGTGTGATTTCCTGCACCCACGCTGTGGCTCACAAGGGTTTGATCTGATGCCCTCTTCTGACTTCCATGGGCACCAAGCACACTTGGTGGTACACAAACATTCAAGAATGCAAAATACCCATACACATAAAATAACAAACTAAGTAAGTTATTTCTAAAATATAAAATATAAACCTAGTGCTAGGCTGGCATCATGGCTCACCAAGTGAAAGCACTTGCCACCACACCTGATAAACCCAGTTCCATCCCCAGGAAGCGGGGCACCAACTCCTACAAGCTGTTCTCTGACCACCATATGCAGACATATATCTGACACCTTGGAGGCAAGGGAAGACCAACCAGAATTAAGCACAAAGGGGACTTTGGGCTTTCAGATATGTAAGGATGTTGATCGACTGACAGGCGTTTGGGGGTCCTACCTCCACATCTTCCTGTCCCCCAGCATTAGCAGGCCCTTAACAGGCATCTATCTTCCTCCTTGTTCCTCTCTATCACTACCAAAAATCTCAAGTTGCGCGCTCTCTCTCTCTCTCTCCCTCCCCCTCTCTCTCCTCTCTCTCTCCCCCCCTCTCTCCCCCCTCCCTCTCTCTCTCTCCCCCTCTCTCTCCCCCCTCCCTCCCTCCCTCTCTCTCCCCCCTCCCTCCCCCCTCTTCCCCCCCCCCCCTCTCTCAAGTTTTCCACAGTCTAGAATTTTCTGTCATTGAATGTTTCAATCTTTCACACACCACCACCCAGGCTCTAGGCAAATTATGTAATGACCTCAGGTACAGAATCTTTCCTCTGCTCCTGCCTCTGTTTCTCTTCCCTTATGAGAAGGCGGGCAGACAGACAAATGACAGATTGTCTACTGAGACAGTATTTCTTTGGTGTAAGAATACTGAAAGTATTTCGCACCCCGTACCTTGGGTCTGTGGGCTGTAAGGAGACAGAAGTTTGGACCTCTTCTTTTCATATCCTTTCTGTGTGATGTCCCCTGAAATATCGAGAAACAGAAATAGGTTATGCATTATCCTTATTCTGCGGTTGTTCGCTGTAAAAAGAAAATTAATTACAGAGTGCTACAGAAGTACCATATTTAGAATACATTTTTTAACGTATGGTTCTCTGTCAAGACTTTGTAAAGTGTGACTTCCCATAAGCTCAGAGAGGACTACTTGTAGAAAATTGCAGGCTTGTCCCCTCATCAGCCTTGCACAGCAATTCGTAACACACAGTGACAGAGGCTCCCTGTCATCCCTCAGTGCCCCTCACTTCCTTGGTATTTAAGATACTCCAAAATGGAATGACTCACAAGCACCTGATATTTGAAAAGGGATTTGCAAGGCCCCCTCCTAACACTTGGCTCAGAATCTAAGGCTGGAATTCCCATACACCCTCTACTTGATTCACTAGTTTGTATTATTTATATACAAGGTTGTTCTCCTCTGAAAGGTTAAGTAAAATGTACCAATAAAGTATACACATATACAGATACAACAGAGTGAGCTGATACACAGAAAACTGTCCACACCCCAAGGAACAGGTGGATGGGCAGTGAGCAGGCTGAGTGGGAGAGGAACCGCATAGACCCAAAAGGCATTCAAGGGAAGAGAAATGCTTCAAAGCTGTGACAAGAAATTTCACTAACTAGTGAAATACACACAATAGAAGAGCATTTTCTAAAGAATTGAATTTTTTAATCACAGAAAGGTCTATTCAAAATGAAGTTTTACATATAACTCAATGTATAAAAACAGAAATAGTTTTAAAATAACATAAAAGATAATTTGAACATACAGCTTTCCAGCATTTTTCCAAGTGTGTGTGTATGTACAGAAGCCAGGAGGCTATTGGTTTCCAAAAGTTCTGGGCATTTACAGGAACGGGCACCAGGATCTGAACCATAGTCCCCGTGTTGTATAGCAAGTACTCCTAACCACAGAGCAATCTCTCTAGCCCCTACACTGTTGTTGTTGTTGTTATTATTATTATTATTGTTTGCTTTTCAAGATAGGGTTTCTTGTGTAACAGTCCTGGCTGTCCTGGAACTAGCTCTGTAGACCAGGCTGGCCTTGAACTCACAGAGACCCATCTATCTGCCTCTGGCACCCACCTCTGGGATTAAAGTCATGCACCACCGTCGCCCACCATGTTTAATTTTTGAGAAAGAGGCTTGGTATATAACATGGGTTAGTTTCAAATTCACAATCTTCCTGCCTCAGCCTCCTCAGTGCTTAGCTGCCATACTTGGCTCTAAGCATTCACATCTTTAACATTTACTGTGTATACCCCAATGGCTAAGGGAGAATTTGATGACAAAAAAATGAAATCCAGGGTGACAGAAGTCTGCTATTGCTGGCTGGCTTCGGCATTCCAAACTGGACAGATCAGAAGGGGCTGGAGGCATACTGAAGACAGACAGCAAGGAGGAAAACCTAGATGCCCCAGCCTGCTACAGAAATAAAGGGATGAGAAGAAGCAAATTAATTAAAGAGAATGTGAGGGATAAACCAAGAGAGAGGAGAGAGCCTGGGTAAGACCTTGACCGGCTGAGCATTAGTGGCACACGCCTTTAGTCACAGCAGGCGGATCTCTGTGAGTTTGAGGCCAGCCTGATCTATAGAGCTAGTTCCAGGTCAGGCTCTACAGCAACACAGAGAAACCCTGTCTTGAAAAAAACAACAACAACAAAAAGACTCCTTGACTGGCTCATGACTTGAGCAATCAGATGAATGATGGTACCACCTGCTGATAGTGACAGAGATGAGCTATGTTTCTGACTGGACAGACACAGCAGCTGAACTGAACTTGGTGCAGGTCTGTGGGACACAGAGATGCCCCATCAACAGGGAACCATACAGACCTAGAACTCAAAACCACATGGATTGGGAATCATCAGGATACTGATAAAAATAAGTTACATTTTTCTAAGTTATCTGACAACTTCTATAAAAATTCTGATTTAACAACTTCACTTCTGTGAATGCATCCAATATTGTATATATATATGAGTCCAAACATAAAACAGTGAAAGAATGCCCCATTCTTGTGACGAGAAACCTGGAAACAAGCCGGGTATTTATCAGTGACTTTCCGTTAGCAGCAGTAAGACACTGGAGTGGAGGTGGGGCATGTGGCAATGTCTAGGAACACTTTTCTCCCAGTTGTTGAATGACAGGCTGTGAGCACTCAGGGAACAGGGCAGCCACACATCATAGCCCTATCTAGCCCAAACAGCAAAAGTGCTGAGGCTAAAAGGCCCTGATCTGGGTAAGAGGTAGGTATTCTAAATATAGTGGGAAAGAACAATGTCTAAAATTTGTTCCTCATAAACAGCAACAGCAGAACAGCGGCAACATGTGACCTAATCCTATAAAACACAGGCCTATGTATGTCTCTGCATACAGAGGCATATAAATCTAGAAGACCAGGGACCAAGGGAGTTCATGTTACAGAGCGAACTTCAGGAGGAGCTCTACTTTGTTCATACACTCTGACCAAGTCTGATTTTGACAAAATAGGATTGACTTATGCTATCTCATTTCCCCCCATAAGCCAGATACAGCAGTGCAAACTATTGTCTAAACCCTTGGGAGGCAAAGATAAAGGACTACTGCAAGTTCAAAGCCAACATGGTCTACTTGCTGAGTTCTAAGCTGGCAAGGACTATGTATCAAATTCCTATCTCAAAAACAAACAGAACTTTTTCCATTAAAAAAGAATGAGGGGAGCTGGAGAGATGGCTCAATGGTTCAATTCTCTACTCTTGTAGAGTTCTCAAAACCTACATGCATAAGTAACTCCAGCTCCAGGGAATCCTATGCCTCTTTCCTCCATGGGAACATGGAGGAAATTTAATTTGTATGTGTGCATACCAACACAGACACACATACAAATTAAATTTTTTAAAATCTTTATTTATATTTTTTAAGACAAGAGTGAGGACTAGTGGGATAGATAGCTCAGGGGATAAAAGCACTTGCTGTCAAACTGGCTGACCCCAGTTCAATCACTGGCACTCACATGGGAGGAGAGAACTACCCACAAGCTGCCCTCTGCCCTGTGCAATGAGCTTACATATTTTTAAATTACATAAAAAAGAATGATCATATATGTACATCTGCTAGCATAAGACAGCTAAATTGTCTAATGGGAAAAGAACAGTCTATATTATACTTTGTATGGTGTATTCAACTGTTAGAACAACAATATTTTTAAACATGCACGGATGCATCAAAAACATGACTATCTTTCTTCTGTATTGATCTCTTCATCTTTGCAGAGCTGGGGCTGGACCCCAGGGCCTCATGCATACTAGCTACAGTTCTGCCTCGAAATAACGCAACAGTTTCGTTTCCTAATATTCTACAACAAAACCATTATTTCAAGAAATTTTACATTTTCATTTATATTATATACTGAATCATGCAAACTAAATCACAAGATTTAAATCACTAAATCTGCTTCTCTAATAGAATAGTGAAAAGTAAAAATCGAGACTCTTCCCATCAGCCAATTCAAAAATTCAGGTAAGCGCAAAGAATATTATACACAATGAACAGAGAAAGAGGACCTAGTGGAAACCTACACTGCAAACAGGAAACTGTTTTTCTCTGTAAAGTAACAGATCACAGTTCCTTCCCACTCAAAACTCCTCTGCATCTCCCACTCTCTGATGCAGGGGGTGGAGCATTCCCAGTGACATCCCCAGTGAAAGGCCTGTACAAGACTTTCCTCAGTACTCAGTCTCCATCACTCATTGTTGGTAAATGATACTGGGCAAACTTGGACTGGGCAGCTGGGTCATCCATCAACCACTGAATGTCTCAGTTCTGAAAGGGGTCAATCAAGAGAGTCTAATTCTGCCATGCCAATTAGCTAGATAAGATTTGGAATTGAGCAAAGACATGAAGGAGACCCAGAAGAAACAGAATGGCAGCAGGAATGTGACGACTCTTGACGTTGGCTCCTAAAACTCTCTTTTCTGACTGTAAAGTCCCCCACTTGTTCCTCCTCTTAGGGCTCATCTCCTGCAACCCTGTGCACACTTGTGTGGCAGGGAGCCCTTAGCACACCACTGGAATTTAGTGGTCTGTTTACATTTCGGGCTTCCCTAATACACTGTGCATTTGAGGGCAGGGATTGTCTTGTTCAACTCAGTGGCCACCCACAGCCTGGTACAATACACACTTGTTGAACAATGAAGAGACTGGATGAATTGGTAAAATGGAAGCAATGAGGGATCAATAAATCAAACAGACATGTGTAGTTGGGTGGAAAAGCTGAAATGGAAGAAAAAGAAGTCCTTATTTCAGCAGGAGCTGAACGGCTTTGGGAAAGGAACCAGAGATGTTTACTGACTCTGACAGCAGACCTTAACTGAGGGGAGAACAAAGGGAGGGCCTGGTGGCACACACCTTTAATCCCAGTACTCGGGAGGCAGAGGCAGGCGGATCTCTGTGAGTTTGAGGCCAGCCTGATTTATACAGAGTGAGACCTGGTCTCAAAAAAACAAAACAACAATAAAAGTGACCAGAAAAGCACTTGCACAGCCTGGAGAGCAAGAAACAGAAATCCACGATGGGGCATTGAAGCCAGAAGAAGCCACAAAGACAGACACAGATGCACACACTAGACTGCATCATGCCATCAACCAGGATTCAGAACTCTCAGGCCATCCTCACCCCATGAGGTGAGCACATTTCACTGCACTGAAGCAATGCTTTTCAAACCTGACCCCACCTTTTTATCACTCACTGTGCTGTAGTTTCCTCTTGCTTTAGAAGGGGGCTGCAAGCACTCTACCACTGACCTACATACACAGCCCCTGATCATTTATTTTTAATCCTCTTCCTGCCCCTCTCCTGGGGGTGGGGAGGAGTGTGCTCTTTAGAGTCAGTTCTCTTTGCCCTTTCATGGAATCCAGGGATCAAGCTCAGGCCATGAGGCTTAATGGCAAGCAGCTTGACTGAGCCAGTTCTCCAGCATTTAAGT